GGTCATGAGTGTCCTGAGGCCTCGGAAGCTCAAGGCCTAGAGGTGTAAGCAAGTGGTAAGCAGGCTGGGAGGAGCAACAGAAGACAAAGAGGTACTGGTCTGAACCATTTGTTTCTTCCTTTCAGACTTGTGCTTTTAGTCTGAGCAAGGGCTAAGACAGCCCTTGGGAGATAAATGCTTGAGGAGAAGAAACAGTGCAAGGCCTTGGTGCAGAGCTGGATTGAGGGAGTGTGCAGATCAGGACTGAGGAAGGAAAAAAAACAACAAAGAGAAACATGGGAAAGCTGAGCCCACCTGCAACCCCCACCTTCCTAATAGAAGGGTTTGAGCAGAGAGACATTTCTGTAAAGATTCCAAATGCAGCTGTTATACCAAAATTCGGGGACCCCTAGAAGACCACCAGAGACCACGATCAATGTAAGCAACAAAGAGCCGGTTTATTGCAAGCTCGAGCTTGGTCCTCCGCGCACACGGTAACTGGTGACGCTAAGAGGCCCTGAGCATAGAATCAGCGCAGTTTTTATAGTATTGAACAAACAAATTTAAGGAACTTTTACATAAGAAATTATACAATTAGTTAACATTTAAAGAATCTAAGCTGGGCAAATATGATTGTTTGACCTTTACAGAAAAATGTCCTTGGTCCATAGCTTGACCAAAAACGGTTACTACTTCTGGCTTTTTCTGCTTATTGTGGTGCTGAGGAATCGAACTCAGGGCCTCATGTATGCAAGGCAAGCACTCTACCACTGAGCCACCTTCCCAGCCCCTGTGGAATTTTTCTCTTTCCTGGTTTTATTCATTTTTAGTAGTTATCTTTTTTTTTTTTTGGTCAGTCATGGAGCTTGAACTCAGGGTCTGGATGTTTCCTCTGAGCTTTTTCTTCTTTCTTTTTCTTTTCTTTCTTTCTTTTTTATTCCTCAAGGCTAGTGCTCTACCGCTTTGAGCCACAGCTCCATTTCCAGTTTTCAGGTGATTAATTAGAGATAAGAGTCTCACAGACTTTCCTTCTCTGGGCTGGATTCGAACCGAGACCTTCAGATCTCAGTCTCCTGAGTAGCTAGGATTATAGGCATGAGCCACACCAGCACTTGCTTATTTTTTTTTTCATTTTGTAATTACAGAATTACTCCACTTCAAATATATATCACACTTGTTCCAAGCTTGTCTTTTGACTATTGGTTTTGTTTTGAAGCAGGTTCTTAACTATGTAGGCCAACTTATCCTTGAATTCACCATCCTCTAGCACCAACACATTCTCTCAACTTTGACTTTAATTTATTTTTTTTTGTCGGTTGTGGGGCCTGAACTCTGCGCCCAGGCACTGTCCTCAGCTCTTCAGCTCAAGGCTAGTGCTCTACCACTGGAGCCACAGCTCTGCTTCTGGCTTTTTCTGCCTATGTGGTGCTGAGGAATCTAACCCAGGGCCTCATGCATGCAAGGTAAGCACTCTACCACTGAGCCACCTTCCCAGCCAATTTTTTTTGTATTTTTTTTAATTGTAAAAATGCTGTACAGAGGGGTTACAGTTATATGAGGAAGGCAATGAGTACATTTCCTATTGAGCATTGTTGCCTTTTCCTTTGTTTTCCCCCTACCATACCTTCCCTCCCACCTCCACAACTACCCCACCCCTGCCAAAGTTGTAAAGTTTGTTTTCAATAGTGTTTTGTACATCTCATTGTTACAATGGGTCAACCTGTATCCTTATTTAAGCATTTTGTTTTTTCCCTTCCCCTCCCCGAATTAAAGAAGTGTATATACAAGATGCAGAGCACTAACATCAAGGGGTTGTACTGAGAACAGGGGTTATACGTGGGGGAGGAACGTACAAAGAAACAAAAAAAATCACATGGTACATTATAAATGTTAGGGACAATATCAAAAAAGAAAAAGGTATTTGTGTCCCTATCTTGGGGTTCATTTTGCTTAACATCATCTTATATGGTCATATGTACATAGCCTTTGGTCTTTTCTGCTTGTCCTACACATGTACTAGTTATTGCAAATAAAGGAAACCATGGGACCTATGTTTCTTTGGGCCTGGCTTACTTCACTTAATATAATTTTTCCCAAGTCTTTCCATTTCCTA